GGGAGCTGGGCATGTTTAGCCTGGAGAAGAGGAGGTTAAGGGGTGATATGATAGCCATGTTCAAATATATATAAAAGGATGTCATATAGAGGAGGGAGAAAGGTTGTTTTCTGCTGCTCCAGAGAAGCGGACACAGAGCAATGGATCCAATCTACAAGAAAGAAGATTCCACCTAAACATTAGGAAGAACTTCCTGACAGTAAGAGCTGTTCGACAGTGGAATTTGCTGCCAAGGAGTGTGGTGGAGTCTCCTTCTTTGGAGGTCTTTAAGCAGAGGCTTGACAACCATATGTCAGGAGTGCTCTGATGGTGTTTCCTGCTTGGCAGGGGGTTGGACTTGATGGCCCTTGTGGTCTATACCAACTCTATGATTCTATGAGGTTACAGACTCTGCTAACCCAGAAATAGTACTTTGGGTTAAGAACTTTGCTTCAGGATGAGAACAGAAATCGTGCTTCGGCGGCGCAGCGGCAGCGGGAGGCCCCATTAGCTAAAGTGGTGCCTGTTTGGGGTACCCTATTGTAGTGGTGCTGTGGGGGGTCCCATGATGAGTTGCCAAGTTGTGGGAATTTTCAGTTTGAGGCTATACAGTGGTACCTTGGTTCTCAAACTTAATCCATTCCAGAAGTCTGTTCCAAAACCAAAGCGTTCCAAAACCAAGGCTCACTTTCCCATAGAAAGTAATGCAAAATGGATTAATCCGTTCCAGTCTTTTAAAATAACCCCTAAAGCAGCAATTTAACATGAATTTTACTATCTAACGAGACCACTGATCCATAAAATGAAAGCAATAAACAATGTAATGCAGTCACACAATCAATCAGTAGCTGAACTGGGCTCCACACAGTCACAAAAACAAAACAAAAAAGAGCCGCAGAAACAAAAACACAAAATAAATAGCAAAAACAGACAGACCTCAGCATAACACTCAAAACAGCAGTGTGGCACTCAAAACGGAGCACATTCAGCTTCCAAAAAATGTTCGTAAACCGGAGCACTTACTTCCAGGTTTGCAGTGTTTGGGTTCCAAGTTGTTTGAGTACCAAGCCGTTTGAGAACCAAGGTACCACTGTATGTACAGGCTATACTTATTCGGGGTGCCCTATTGTAGGGGTGCTGTGGGGGATCCCATGACGAGTTGCCAGGCAGAGCAGCAACGCGATGGCTGTAATTAGCTGCATTAGAAGAAAGTCCCCCTCTCTGATCTCTAGGCCTGAGGCCACAAGGTCCCCTTCTCTTCTCCTTCCCTTTCCTCACGGCTCCATTATAAGCCCAGGAACAAGACCAGCCTGCCTGCCTGCTTGCCCGCCTGCCCCTTCCCTCCAAGACTGAGACGGGAGGGAGACGCCCATTTTTTATTATTAATTGTTGCTTTGCATTTGCCATCCAAGCTGCTAATCCGAGGGCTCCGTGTTTGGCTGCTATCCTGGTGCCAGGCCCTGCCGTTGGGGTTGGGGATCTCCGAGCCCAGGGAGGGGACCCCGGGCCGGCGTAGCAGCTGTAATTACTCCCTAGACAAATCTCTGCAAACCGGGAGGACTAGAGAAATCGCGGCCCATATTGCGCGGCCTGCCGCCCCCACCCGCCAGGATAATTTGAGACTCAAATCCCAGCAAAGACCTGCTACAAATTGCTGCAAATTAAGCTGATTTTGCCCCGAATGAGGGATTTTCGGCTGCAGATCAACCCTTCCCGAGAGCTGATGAGGTGGGGATTAGAGAAGGGACTGAAATCAAAGGGGCAAGATAAGGCGGGTGGCTGGCGAGGGGATGGGGGGAGAGGGAGGAAGGGAAGGGGAGAGGGAGGAGGGACGAGGGTTGGCCTAGCAGTGAAAGTCCCGGAGTATTAGCACTTTATTGATTTCTACTTTACTGACATTTTATTCTATTACCAAGTTTCCGATTAGCCTTAACAAAAAAAAAAAAACCAATCCGAGAAAGGCAGAGAAGGCATGTTGGGTTTTGACCTCAGGGCACTGGATCCCTTTCGATTTGCCAGATTGTGCAGTTTTTTAAGGGAATGTGAACTAGAACATATTAGACACTCTGGTGTGTCAGAACACCTCAGACCTGTTGGCACTTCACCAAAGAGACCCCCTGAACAGACACCGACACACCCCCGCACACACTTTTGTACAATTTTTGCCCTGATATGCAGCGTAGTGACATCAGGGCAGATGAAACCTTTATAGGAATAAAACCTACAGAAGAGGAAATGTGTTCCTGGGAGTGTTTGTGTATGTGTTAAATGAGTTAGCTCCTGCCTGTTGGTTCTCCTCTAACCCCCCTGTACCTCCTCCCCACATGTATGTTACCTTGGTAAACAAGGGTTTGAAAACACACCTTGTGGACATGTCATGAAGTTTTGCATAGTCTTTATATGTTGATAGAACTAGTCTTTTCCTCTAGGCTGCAGGCAGAATAAGCTTTTCTTCTTCAGAGGTATGTACCTCTGTTATGTATATTTACCCCACAATCACCACATGTTCTTTCAGTGCTTCAAAAACCTGGAAAAAAATTTTTGACCAGAGATGACACTTCAAAAAATAAAAGAAAAAAATAAAAGAAATGTGTGTGTTCAGAGCAAGCAACACAACTCTAGCTCTTTTAGAGGCTATTGTCTGTCTCCAACAAGCTGGAGGCTAGTTGTTCTACTACCTTTGCTAGTTGTGGCTTCAGGACATAGCCATCAGGTGTAAATAAGAAACATAACAGTGCCCCTGCTACACACATGGATATTACTTCTTATGTCAGAAAAAAGGTTTCGTAAGAATTCAGCCTAAAGCTTGGGTAGGCAGTTTGGGAAACTGTTCACTTCTGGCTCTTCTCCATCTACACTTTATCCCCGTGGTTCTAGAGTAGATCGTAGTTTTCATCTGTTTTAACCGGAATGCATGTTGTAGGTCTCTGCAATGGCATCATTAAAGATTTTATGCTGTGCATGTTAAAATTAAAAAGATATATGTGCAGATAGTCACTACGAATGTAATCAACTTGATTTAATACTAATAGGAACCAGCAAATGGAATTTATGACTTAAAAATAAGTGTGTGTGTTTTTTAAAAAAACATAAATACAAGTACTTTCTGGGGGGAAAACAGGGAGAAAATCTCAATCTGAATAGTTTATTAGAGTCTAATCCCTCACCAACAAACGAAACCGGGGCTGCCCACCCAATAATCCCAACTGCCATTAAAATATTAAAGATAAATCTAATCGTCTCTTTATCCAAAATAAGCGACTTTTATGTTGAGAGAAAACGTCTAACCCTTTGGGAAGAGAATTACTCCTAATGTATCAAATGGAATTCAGTCAGGAGGGTGAAACTGGGTTTAAAATCAAATGAGATGATAATAGAGATAAAGCGTAGTATGCCAAATTAAAAACACTCATTTACACAAATTAAAATCTCCCTGAAGAAAGTATACTGTTGAAATGGGACTTCACTGGACTCCTGTTCCCTCCTTGTGCGAAAGTGGTGTAACCCAACTAAGACTGAGACATCTAAAGGTGCTGATTGGATATTATGCCCAAGAGAGAAACCCAAACCCAAAGATCATTCTTTTCTCGTGACATCTCTTCATATATATTCCTTCCAATTACTTCTCTCACCTGTGTCATGTTTGCCTTGTGAGTCCTTGTCATCCAGGAGCCAGGAAAATCCAAAGGAATGGGTACTTTTGAGTTTTTATGACCCTCTGTGGCTAGAGGTCTACAGCTGGTCTTCAGGTTCCACCCTCGCTCAGCCACTGAATTAGTGGATAACCATGGAAAACAGGGAGCCTACCTTCTGCCACATCAGGTTTATTTGTCCATCTAGCCCCTGTTGCTCTGAGTGATAGTAGCTCTCCTGTATTTCAGGCAGAGGTGTTTCCCATTTCCCAAGAGGGAAGTGTCAGGAATTGAACCTAAGATCTCTTTCTTGCAAAACATTCACTCTGCTGCTGAGCTATGCTCCTGACCCCTCCATCTCTATTCCTCACCTATAAAGTAACAGGAATGTTAATGACTAATATGAACCATTTGCCATCTCTTTAGTGTCAGCATTCTGAAGTATGTAGAGAACCGAATTCTTCAGTAAACTGAGAGTACCTGCAGCTTGGGTTCTTCCGTTAGCGTCCTTTGCTATGGAAGACATAGTACTGCTTAGCTCTTGATTTGTTGTTGTTGTTGTTTGTTGTAGCACACTTACTCAAGCCATCCTAAGCTTTTTTCAGTCTGGACTCTTACTTCCTAGGTAAACCCTTTTCTAACTCAATAGCCCTTTGGGATGTGCAACCATTTATTTTAAAGAATCACCTTTATACCTGTAGCTCCTTAGCAGCACTGTAGAGAAGAGTAGTATAATTTTTGGATTATAATTCTTCTGTTTCTTTGCTGAATTGTGGATGCCTAATAAGAAGGCATTGTTGTCACTGGACATTTTGCTATACTATTTCATCTCATTGTTGAAGGATATGCTTCTGAAAGCATACAGTTTCAGTGCGATTTCAATTGCCATTGTGTTTCTAGCCATTATTAAAGAGGACATAAGCAAAAAATATAATCAGAATGTAGTTGGGAAATCAGAATTCAAGATAGGTGCACCTACCTTTTATAGTTTGAACCTGTCTTAAAAAAAACCTTTTAGAAGCTACTTGAGATGTATAGTATTGGGAGGAGAAGGATAGTAATTAATATGACTCAGATGGACCTTTGGATAAAGCATCAGGATTCAGCTAGATTGGCTCCTAAAATTCCATAAGGAAGATAAGAGCTGAGAATGAACAAATAAGTAGTATTCTCTGTTACAGCTCAAGTTCCTGCAGGATGGGAAATGTTCTTGTTTCCTTGCACAGTCAATAACTATTAACTGTGCTGTGCACTTCAGCAGTTTCTGCGCTTAAAAACCTTGCATTATACAGAACAACATATAGGAGGAAGTGTTTGCTTCTGAAGTACTAAAAAGGGAAATGCAGTGGTTCCAAGGGTGGGGAAAGCATTTGCATGTAAGTCATGCATGTAAGCCTTTACTAGAAGAACATTTTAGTCAGAGTCTAATAAGAGTCCAGAGTTTTAGAGTTTTCTAGTTAGGAATGGGATGGTAGTGGCCAGTGAAGGAAGAAGAAGAGCATGGAATTTGGATATAAACAGTTTCAGTGAGAAGAAATATAGTGGATATAGAGAGAGAATAGGTGAGTGCGGTATCAATCCTGATTCTTTGTTCAACTGAAATTCTTCCCAGATCCCTTAACAGCCCCCAGTCTCATTTCCAACTTAAACGTTATACACTATGAGGACTAGAAACTATTTTTATTTTTGTAATACTTTTTATTTCCAAAAAGAGAGAGTAAGTATATATATCAAATATGTTCAAAGAAATAGATATACTGCAAATGATTAAATAACAAAAATAGGATGTTTCAGTGGCTGTTGTCTAAAATACGTTTTCTGGTAATTAATGCATTTATCACAATAGCGATTAATACATTTCTGCTAAGGGTAGTGATACGTTTTCCTCCTTTTGTCTATGTATAATGTTTGTTAATTAGCTAATTCCAAATATTTTCTTAAGATTATTTTTTAAAGCACCATTGAGGTGAAATCTCAGATACAATGCCAAGTTGTGTGCCATCAAGCAAATAACTTACACAAGCAAGTATCTCACACAAGGTCATTGAAACAGGGTATGCACATAGCCACACTGACCATAAGCAAAGTCTGCAGGTACTTGCTCCATGTGAAAGGTTGCTTCTCCTTTTAAAGGTTCGGATTTCTTCATCAAGAATAATGGGAGCCAATGATATAGTTAGTTTCATATCATCCAGAAGAAAATGGGACAATCTTGTGAAAACGAGACAGAACCCCTTTGTGTCATCTGAGTACCAAGCTTGGATGTCTTCCACAAAGTCATATGTTATACATTGTTTGATTTGTTATTGCAGGCACCAGTTCAAAGGGTGATTAAAGGTACCATCTTCATGCCCAAACACTGAAGCTACCAATTTCTGAGGAATTTAAAGACCATGGTAGACATCCTCTAGCTCTGCATCATTAAGCCTGAGAACACATACAGAAACAAATGTGAAATTTAAAACAAAAATAATTATACTTTGATCTATAAACCAAATTCAGATAATTTCAGGTGCTGAAATATAATATGTAGCTTTAACATGCAGCTGAGAAACAAAGTAAACCAATAGAATATGATCTTAGGTCCATAAAACTTGGAGGCTAAGAGTGTGCCAGAAGGAAAATGAATTGATCTCTCTATGTTAGTAACTTTGTCTTAATGTAACATTTTTTATATGTAGCTATGTATTTTTGTAATATTTTGTTTAAGTTGCCTGTTGTTGCTTCAGTTTTTTTTGTACACCGCTTAGACATATTTTTAAAATATTAAGCGGCATAGAAATTATATATAATCAATAACAGATTTCCAAATTAACATTTATGTGACACTGGATATTACTGCTGCATAGTAATAGGTGGTAGTTTAAGGGCGCAATCAGAAACACACTTACCTGGGAATAAATCCAATTGAGGAGAGTGGATGGTTTTTTGGGGAGTGGCAGGGAACATGTTTAGGATTTAACTAAGGATCTAAATTAGTTTTGTGGTCACAGAAGGTGAGAATTTTAAAACATTCGCAAACATCTGCTTATTGTCCTGCATAACAACATCATATCACATGTACTGCGCATACTTATTACAGTCAGTTGCTTGGACAATAAGTCATGACCGTTTGCCTCTAGGATTATTTTAGCTTTCATAAAAGAGCTCACAAATTACAGGAGATGTTATTAAGAATTTGTAGGTGGATATGAACAGGGAGTTGGTAAAAAGTCATGACAAGCTTTTCTTTGGTGTGCGTTAGTTTCAGAGGAACAAAACAGCAAAATATTTTAACAAGTTAATGTTGATTCTCCTTTGAATGAATGCTCTGTACTTTTAGTTATGATTAATGTCCACTCAGCGATGTCTTTAGTCTTATTAAGTGCAATATACGCTATTTCCCAGCAGAAGCACAAGTACCTAACATATGTTATGATGAACATTTGTCAGTTTTGCACCAACACGTATTGGAAAGCACCTGTGATATCATTAATAAGTAGACATAGGGTGACTGGCAGTCCTGTGCATGGGTTTCTGCTTGCCCAGTGGGGCTTTTCTGCCTCTCTGGACCCTGTGTGCCTCCTGTGCCCCTGAAATTGGTTCAGGGGGTAGAGAAAACCCCTAGAACAGTGCATGGGGGAAGGGAGGGAGACAGTTCTTTCTGGCAAGCTGAAATGCTTTTGCAGGCAGAATGTTTGTAACAGCGCAACACTGAATTCCACCCATAGCCTTCCCTGACCCTTGCCCATGTAATATTGAAATTCTTTTAAAATTGATTTTTTTTATAAACATGCCACAAGGATATGTGCTAAAACTATTATAAGGAACACAGAGCACAGGAAACTGCCTTATGCCAAATCAGAGCTTTTTAGATACAATTGTAATCCAGCTATTTTGTGCCATGACATCTCTATTATTATTATTATTATTTTGGCTTTTTGTTTATTCTGGTGTTTTTTGTTCACATTTTACTTGTTTTCTTTCTTTTGTAAACTGCCCTTAGAATGTGACTGAAGGCTAGTATAAAAATACTTATACAGTGGTACCTTGGGTTAAGAACTTAATTTGTTCTGGAGGTCCGTTCTTAACCTGAAACTGTTCTTAACCTGAGGTACCACTTTAGCTAATGGGGCTCCTGCTGCGGCCGCACGATTTCTGTTCTCATCCTGAAGCAAAGTACTTAACCCAAGGTACTATTTCTGGGTTAGCAGAGTCTGTAACCTGAAGCGTCTGTAACCTGAGGTACCACTGTACTAAATAATAATGAAGTATATAAGCTGCACTGTGCCTCTACAACTGCATTTCTGCAGTGTTCATGCTATATTGTGAACAAAGGACTAGCGTCACTACAGCATTAGGGAGGAAGTTGCTCTTGTTATAGTGGGAAAAATTACTGGCTAAGATCCAAATAGCTGTTTAGGCTCACATCAGGAACTTCAACTGGCCCCATGGGATTTTTTGCTTTTGAGCAATATCACAAACTTCTAAAAGCATGCATGAAAACTTTGTTTTTAAAGCATTGCCATGCAGCATATTGGGAGGTCAGGTAGTGCTGTTTGATAAAAACAAATCTAAAACATCTTTGGACTAGCAGAACTTGTTTTACAGTTTTTGAAATCCTGGCCATGAATACAATCCATATAAACCTTAGAACAACAACCAGAGATCTTTAAAGTTGCAATTAATCAACAATATCTCGCTTTTTATTCTGAAGTGTTTGTGGCTCTCCGTGCAGTGGCAAGGCACTGTTACTTCTATTTCTAGGTAAGTCAAAGAGCAATTTGTGTTCAAGTGTTATTCATAATTATGTTTAGCCTCTCTTGCACAATTTGAGTACACGTGCGGATTGCAGTGATTCATTTCTGAATGCACAGAGTACAGTTTTTGTTCTGCGAATTCGCATATCTACTTTTGTGTTCTTTTTGTGTCACCTGTGAAGACATTCAGTGCTACAACTGGTCTTCTATCAACTGCTATTGAGCCATATTTTGGGATAAGGATATTTTTTCATTTTGCTTCTACCATTATAATAAATGCTTCTGTATTCATTATACCTGAGCAGGAGAGTAACAATGGCTAGACAGGCATGGGAATGTGCAGCTTGAAGGAGACACACGAATCAGCTTTTGATATTGTGAAGTATTTGTGAGTAATAATCGAAGTGGGTTTAAAGACACTAGTGAAAATGCCCTAACAATTTGCTTTACACATCTATATTGGGGAGAATATATATATATGCAGGCTTCTGTTCATTGGCATTAGGGCAATAGGTCAATCATGCCCCACCTCCAGCCCTCCAGTCCCGCGCTGTGGGTTAAACCACAGAGCCTAGGACTTGCCGATCAGAAGGTCAGCGGTTCGAATCCCCGTGACGGAGTGAGCTCCCGTTGCTCAGTCCCTGCTCCTGCCAACCTAGCAGTTCGAAAGCACATCAAAGTGCAAGTAGATAAATAAGTACCGCTCCAGTGGGAAGGTAAATGGCATTTCTGTGCACTGCTCTGGTTCACCAGAAGCGGCTTAGTCATGCTGGCCACATGACCCGGAAGCTGTATGCCGGCTCCCTCAGCCAATAAAGCGAGATGAGCGCCACAACCCCAGAGTCAGTCACAACTGGACCTACCGGTCAGGGGTCCCTTTACCTTTACTTCCCAGAGAGTTTAGTGGAAGAGTTGCTCATGTACTTCTCCCTTTCCCATTGAAATCAAAGGAGTGCTTAATTTTCACTGGATCGTGTACTTAGTGTTTACATCCAGGAAAACTGCATGGCTGTTTTAAAAATAATTTTACACATGGATATGATGATTGTATAAATTGTTCAATAATCTGTATTTTAGAATGTGTTCTTCCTTGACACTTTGATATTGGCCAAATCCCATGAAAGCAGCTGGAACTCTATTCCTGTTGGTTGAGATGAAATACTTTTTAAAATATTCAGTTAATTTCTTATCATCGCCTGGGTTGCAGCTAATGAGATCCCAAAGAGATATTTCCTCTTGGCAGGTAATAGGTCCCCCCCCCTTCTTTCACCTCCCAAGCATCTGAGACAGAATATTTGGCTTAGATGAATGTTGCTCTGGCAATGTTGCAGCACATTCTAATTAAGTAACAGTGTCAAGTCATTTTTATATCTGTTATAACGATAGCTGAAAACAGATTATATTAAAATATTCACAGATTTAAGGGACACAAATGGGGGTGATGCCCAGTTCTTCTAACAAAATGTGTGTGCAGGTACATATGCTTCTCAAATTCACCATCAGAGAAGAGACTTCAGTTATCTGTTCCACAAGGTGTCCTGTTATAAAACTAGTTTCTGTTTCCAGACTGAGGTCCTCTGATACCCCAGGTACATAGAGCATTTTGCCTTAGTATTCAGGTGGGTCCCACACCACACAGAGACAGTGCCACCTAGTGAACATGAAGACCTTCTACAAGAGAGTTGTGTGAGGGTGTGTTTTTTGTATATGGAAACTAAGAAAAGGAAACAACAAGCATATCTGGGATGATTCTCCATAATGAATAAAATAAATTACTTTAAAAACCTAATTCAAGTATTTATAGAAATACAAACAAATATGCACAAAGTCAGGTGGCAAAAGGACAAATCACCAGTGCACCAACAAGTATCTCGCACAATTTATTATAAGATTTGCAATGTGGCTGATTTCACATGCCAGCTTACCGTACTAGAACTCTTGGTCATCCAAAGAAACTGTATGTTAGAAGATTCAAGGAAAGTACTTCTTCTTCACACAAGACTATGGAACTCGCTTCCACAGGAGGCAGTGTTGGCCACCAACCTAGATGGCTTTAAAAGAGGATTAGAGAAATTCATGGAGGAAAGAGAAATCGAAGGCTACAGGCCATCATGGCTCTGCTCTGCCTCCACAGTTGGAGGCAGCAATGCTTCTGAATACCAGTTGCTGGAAACCACAGGAGGGGTGGGTGCTCTTGTGCTTGGGCCATGATCGTGGGTTTCCCACAGGCATCTGGTTGGCCACTGAGATAGCACGATGCTGGATAGGAAGGGCCATCTGCCTGATCCAGCAAGCTCTTCTTATGCTCTTATGACAGGGTGGTTGTACAGTGGTACCTCGGGTTACAGACGCTTCAGGTTACAGACTCTGCTAACCCAGAAACAGTACCTTGGGTTAAGAACTTTGCCTCAGGATGTGAACAGAAATTGTGTGACGGCAGCGGGAGGCCCCATTAGCTAAAGTGGTACCTCAGGTTAAGAACAGTTTTAGGTTAAGAACGGACCTCTGGAACGAATTAAGCACTTAACCCAAGGTACCACTGTAATGAAGTATCCAGGTTCAGTTTAAAGTGCTTGTTTTAACTTTAAGGTTCTGAAGGACTTGGGACCAGGATTTCTGAAAGACTACCGTCTCCCACTCCCATATGTACTCACTGAACCATAAGATTCCCTTCAGTGGTCCTGCTAAGTGTCCCTGACAAATGAAGTGAAATAGATGGCTATCAGAGAAAGGGCCTTTTAGGCAGTGGCACCCTGGTTATGGAGCAGCCTTCTCAATGAGCTTTACCTGGTACCATTTTTGTGATAACTTTGATGGCAGCCTATAAAAAATAAAAATCTATAAAGACTTTTCTGTTTAGCAAGGCCTTATAAATAACTTGCATAGTTTGGTTTTCAAAACTCTTATTTAACTTTGGGGATGTGGCGAGTTTTGTCTTTGCTGTATTTATGTTGCTTCTGATTTTATGGTGTCTTACATTGTATTCAGTTGTATTCTTACTTATTTATTATAAGCTGCCCAGATAACTTTATGTCACGGGGCAGCATACAAATGCCACAAGTAAGCCAGTCTCCATAACCATTCAGGAATTAAAGGATCCATATACTTTTCCCACCTGGAGTCTGTCTACTAAAGCATTATGAAATATTTGTCTCCTTCAGTGAGAAACCAGAGTTCTGGTTTAAGCCCAAAGTTTACTACTGTTAAGAAGGTTGGTTGTATTGTGCCATATTACAGCCTTCTCTCTTTCCCTCTCCCCCCACAGTACTTCCATCAGAATGCCATTATACTGCCTAGTGGAAACAAATGCTTTTTTTTTAATCTTTAGGTATCAGCTGGCTCAGGATAATGCACAGGTTCTCATCTGAATCAGAGTGAATGAATTAACAAATTCATGTTGCTATCAAGTGCCAAAAGCAAGTGAGTGGCAAATGTGTCCATGTGTCTTTGCTGAGAAATGCAGGCATCCAGGGCATGGCTAGATATCATATATGGTTGTTTTTTAAATGCCTTTTGAAGCTTGGGAAGCAATGGCTTCCTAGATAGAAACTATACTTTTTGCTTTTTAGATTCCAAAGAAACACTGAGCTTCTTGTCACCAAAGAGCAACAGCTCTCTTCCTAAATTAGATATATAGTGGGTGATAAGAAGAACCAAAAATTTGTATTCTACTGTTCACAGCCCATTCCAACACAGAGTGAAATGTTCTTAAGCTCATGGAAAGCCCATTGTGTTAGATTCTGGCCATTGCATTTATTCTACCCCCACAAAATAATTCTTACAAAGTACTTTCATTAAGGCCCTTCTTAGCAGTGATATATAAACTAGCTATGGCATTAATACAACAACACCCAGCTGTCTTGGTGAATTCATTCAAAGTTAGCTGGGCAACAATAAAGTGCTTAGGGTGCATGGTGTGATTATTTATTTAGCTGCCAGTAGATGGCACTGTTACTTAAATCTGTTATTATAAAGAACATTGTTTTTAACAGGTGGCCTTGCTGAACATACCTGGAATGGCACATGTGAGAGTGTAAAGCAGTTGCCAAGATACACTTTATTGTTATTCTGGATTGCTGTTTGACGGTAGGATTCCAGATTCAGCTCTTAGGCAGAGATTCCCCACCCCCAGCCCCCAGATCTCTTATGAGGAAAGCCACACATCAAACTTTTGTGACTTACTATATGCAAAAACACTTTCGTTAGCAAAACAATAAGATTTTTTTGTAACAGATCAAGCATATGAATCAAGGAAAATACCAAGCTATTGAGAGGATTCTGGAAGCTATCTAGCTATTTAGTGTTCTAACAAAATGTGGCTCCCTATTTATAGTCCTGGGAATCTTAGTTTCCATTTAATTTTTTTTTTTAATGTATATCTAGATCTCATGGTTGTAGATCCAAACATGAAAACATGTGAGTGATGCCTGGTAAATGTTAGACTAGCAGGAACTATGTAGGAATTCCAGTAGTAATTCTTTTGTCTCATCTCACGCTCACATGCGTGGTTTCTTAAATTTATTTATTCAGAACATTTATTTCCCACATCATGGAATTCCTAGGCAATCTCCCACCCAGGTACTGAGCAGACACTCATTTCAGTCAGGTGGCTGTATCACATGCTCTCACATCAAGTCCTAGGATTGATTGATTGATCTATCTATCTTATGACACACTTGTGTTAGTGTACTAGAAGAAGAAGAAGCAAAGATCACCAGTGTCGAAGCAATGATTCTTCAAAATCAACTTTGTTGGACTGGTCATGTTGTTCAGATGCCTGATTATCATCTTCCAAAGCAACTATTCTAGTCCAAACTTAAAAATGGAAAGCATAATGCTAGCTGTCAACAAAAGAGGTTTAAAGACTCACTCAAGGCAAATCTAAAAAAAAAAGTAGTATAAACACCAACAATTGGGAAACACTGGCCTGCGAGCACTCCAATTGGAGAACAGCCTTTACCACAGGTGTTACGGACTTTGAAGACACTCTAACTCAGGATGAAAAGGAGAAACGTGCTAAGAGGAAGGCACATTTGGCAAACCTTCACCGTGTTCAGCTCCAGCCTAGAAACCTATGTCCCCACTGTGGAAGGACATGTGGATCCAGAATTGGCCTCCACAGTCACTTACAGACTCACTGTTAAGACCATGTTCATGGAAGGCAATCTTACTCAGCTACAAGTGATCGCCAAAGATTCTACACAAAGATTCTATCAACACAGGAATGTTGTGTTGCATGAAGTTGTTTGGAGGAAAACTTTGAAAATTGTAAACAAAACCCAAAAAAACCTAATTTCCTGAGCAGTTTATATAATTTAAGCATAAAACAAAAGGCAGCAGCTGGATATACCAGAAAACCAGGAGCTTCGTCAGAAAAGCTAGGAAACAAAAAGATCCTTTATATTCTGCAATGTCCCCTGAAGATTCTTTCCTTTACTATATGTAGGGGTTTAATATATCTGAAGAATGGGTGAGGTGTTAGACTATATAATTTCAGTTCAAATCTGATTATCTCCTGTGCTCATGGATAACTTTCAACTAAATTTTGCTTTTAGGGCAGAAGCAAACAAGATGTGTTTGTGTTTCCAAATCAAATCTCATTATTAATTTACTTGGCTGAATATTTGAACACACAACCAATTAGAAAATTGGATATTTTACTGTGACTCATTTCCACCTCCTCCACTAATATAAAATGAATGGATATCAATATAAATGTATTTTTTAAAAGAAGTATATGTCAGTTATTTTACAAACTGTATGCAATTCTAAATAAGATTTGATTCAGCACAGGAGATGAACTATAATTTTCACAATACAGAATATCACATCCTTGGAAACGGGTGCAAAACTTTAAAATGTCCGTTGAAAACCTTACTTTTTGGCTAAACAATGATTTAGTAAAATTTTCTGGGTGCAATAAATTTTGAATGTACAAAGCTTTTACAGTACTTAAAAAGTTTAATGAAGACCTTTGATCTATAGTCGATAAAAGTAAACTATAGTTTGCTTTGGTTCATATGATTTCTTTCAACTTAGGTTATTCGTTTTGCTTCCAAGAATCCACCTTTAACAATGTTAGTATTAAAAGGATAGCATTGAATTTGCATTATGGAAGGCTAATTACTGCAAGACAAGCAGCAGCCCTTATTTTTTAGATGGGCGCTAGTACTGAATTGCTTTCGCCCTCTGTTCCACATTGGCTTCTCATTCGCATTCATTCAAAATGGCACCTGTACATTTCATCTTGCATTATAGTTGTAGCAGCTATTGAAAACAGAACGCGAAGTATGCACATTTCCCATGCCACCACAAATCCAGTTTGCTGCAGTGATTCCTGTGAACGAATTTCCAAACTGTTTTTTTTATTATTATTATCTGCCACTCTTCAACGTATAATTAAACACACCACAAGATTCTTTCTATATTTCGATATGGAAATCATTCTTTCTACATTTCGATATCTTTCCCCAGTTATTTTCTCCAAACGATCCAAATTGCGAAACTGATAATAACTGGGAAAAGGCACCCGTCGCTGCTGCCAAAGTTTGTACAACGAACTGCAAAGTCTCCGATCAGCCCACCTGCCTGCCTACGCGGCGATTCGTTCTTTTTTTAAAAAAAGAGAACAACAACAAGAAGAAGAGGTGTGAATTCGGATTTGAATAACCCTCTAAGGAACTGGGATGATTTCATTGGTGAACTGGGCGAGGGAACCGTCGCCGTGACTTCTATAAGACGCGCCGCGCTCGCCTCGTCAAACCAAGGCAACGAAACGCTTCGGCTCCTCTCGCTGCGCCTTCCCTTCTGCTCCGCTCCCCGCGGCCTCCACCCCACTTCTCACGCGAGGGCTGCAGCCTTCAGAGCCCGCTGACCAACCATGTTCCAGGAAAAGGCCCCTTCAGGCTCGCCCGCCCGCCCGCCCTCCTGTCAGCACTGCGCGGGACTCCCTCCTTCCCGCCCTTTCTCCTCTCACCCGGGGCGCGCGCGCGCAAGGGCCCTGCTCTTGGACAGGGCAGCCAAACCCCTTCCCGCTCTGCCTCAGAGTCGCCTCTTGGGTGCTGGGGGGTCTCCCACCCACCTGTCACATCCAGAGCTTCTTCAAGCAGCCGCGGCGGGTTCCCCTTTCTGACCCCTCCAGAGCGACACCCAACAAACTGCCCTCCGTTGCTGGCAGCCATGCGGGTGTCTTACCTGCCGCTCAGGCACTATCTCTGCGCGCAGCTGCCCGCGCGCCCCAGGCCGCCCTCCCTCTCGCCCCCCCCCCCCGCGACGGGTCTTCCCCCCTCCTCTTCCTCCTCCTCCTCTCTGTCTCCTCACCTCCCCGCCCCCCCCCCATATTTGGCTTTTTGGAATTCCTAATCGCGGCTGGTCCCTGTGATTGGCTGCTGGGCTCTGACCCCGCTCGGGCTCCAGGCTGGGCGTATAAAAGGGGCCTGAGGCGGGGGCTCCCGAGCATTCCCCGGAGCGGGCACCAGGGACCAGCCGCAGCATGACGGGCAAAGCGGGCGACGCGCTCGCCCACAGCCTGCCCGCCAAACTCAAAGCCCCCGACGGCGCGCCGCCTGCTCCTCCTCCGCCGCCGCCCACAGCCTCGGGCCCCCCAGGGGCGGCAGGGGCCCCGGTGGGCTCCGTGGCCGCGGGGGCCAAGCCCGTCTCGGGCCCCGCGGCGCCTCGATGCACCGGCTTCGGCATCCAGGAGATCCTGGGCTTGAACAAGGAGCCGCCTTCGCACCCTCGCGCGGCCCTGGACTCGTTGCCCGCCGGCCACCTGCTGGCGGCCCGCTCCGTGCTCAGCCCCGCCGGGGTGGGCGGCATGGGCATGGGCTTGCTCGGCGCCGGCAGCCTGCCCGGCTTCTACGCGCAGCCCACCTTCCTGGAGGTGCTGGCCGACCCGCCCGGCGTCCACCTGCAGCCGCTGGGCCGAGGCCCCGCGCAGCTCGACACCAGCCAGACGGCCAGCTCAGGTAGAGGCAGAGCCGTGGGGCGGGCGAGGAAGGGGGCAGCCGGGAGAGAGAGAGAGATCCAGCCTCAGGAAAGCCGGAGGCCGCGGCTGCAACCCCGTGAGGGAGCCCTCCAGGCTAGGCAGCCCCACACAGCCGACCCAGGAGGGAGACTCCCAGGTCTGGAGGGGTGGTCCGTCCCCCACCTTCGGGCCAACACAGGCTCTTCTTGCCTTCCCATCGCCAGCGATCTCCGCTTCTTCCAGATCGCGGCTTTTTGAGAAAGTGGCCCAGCAGCTCCTTGCCCAGACTGCGGTCATTATAAAACCATAACGAAAGACAATCGACGGGGGCCAAGGAAAAGGGGGCGGGGGCCTCCGGAGGCAGGGAGAGGGGGCGACTTTCGAACACAGGACCGGCCGCTGGTTTCCATCCTTTTGAAGGGGTGAGATCGAAACGCGGGGACCGGCGCTGTTCAAGGTAGCGCGGTTGGGGCTCAAGGTCCCGATTTGTTACCATAAGCGCCAAGGGAATAAAAGGAAATAATATGAAAAGCAATGACCGGTTTCCAAACGAATAATAATAATTCAGAATAATTTTAAACGGGTAAAAATTAGGAGAAACGGCAAAAGTTGTTATTTTAGAGCGTCTAATATATAAATACCCTTCCTTGCGTTCCAGCTCCCCTGGTTCAAAGTCCATTTTTTCCTTGCCCTGTCCTTTAGGGCCTTCAGGGGCGATAAGATTTACTAGGATCCCCAAAATTGCAAGCTTTGGGGCGATGCGCCATCGACTTTCTTTTAAATTCATAAATACTTTATTTCCTTTTTTAAAAAATGACATTTCGAAGGGGAAGAAATGTCGCGTAAGGCTTGGAAACGAAACTGGCCTTCGAGTTTGGAAGGGAGAAAAGAGGAGCCAAGAGCGCGCAGAGAGCGAGGCGTCCTCGGGATGCAAAGCGCTGCCAGGGGGAACCCGGCCAGGGAAGGAAACCTGAGTCGATCGCACGAGACCAGCGCCCCGATCCCCCGATCCGGGGAAATCCGAAGCGAGGTCTGAGTGCGAGACTCCCTCGCCTCGCACCCCGGAGCGTCTCGGGGAGCCGGGAGGGGAGACTCACCCGAACACACCCACACCCTCCAGGAGCTCTGGTCCCCATCGCTGCCGCCTTTCTGTGTCCCCAGATTCCGAGGATGTTTCCTCCAGCGACAGAAAGATGTCCAAATCCTCGTTAAGCCAGAGCAAGAAGCGGAAGAAGAGGCGGCACAGGTAAGGCGGACGCTGCTCGGGAGCCCCGCGAGGCGGAGAGGGAGGATCTCCCCACCCCCCACCCCAATTGCCTGGCCTGCCCTCCCAGTCTCTACCTTTGGGCCTCAGGATCCAGGGAGTCAGGATCGAGCCCCCCATCACCTTGTGCACGCGGGTGGGTGTGGGGCTGGGGGGACGACGACAGAGAGGGGAGCTGCAGAGATGCGCCAAGGAGAGTTGCGCCCTTCTCTGGGTCCTCCATCCCAACGGAGTCCTCTGTCTCCTCCACCAGCATCTCCTCGGATGGACCCGAGGCGCAGCTCAGGGAGGAGGCCGCGCTTCTCGATGCATTTGTTCGGCCTTTGGGTGCTGTTTTGTCTTGAAACCTCCGACCCAAGAGAGGCCAGGGGGGTCTCCTTCGCCCTGGCTGATCCCACCGGCTGCACGGTGGCACTTTCCCTTCTCCCCGTGAGCCGCCCTTCTCCTTCCCCCTATGTTGTAATCCGGCTTCCTTGCCTAGTGGTCCATTGTCATAAAAGACGCAGCACCGGGGTTGGGTGGGGAAGCCGTCCTCGGGGACCTCTCTTTGCATTCCTCATTCTCCAGGGATCTCTTGGGCTGTTTCTTTCTCTCTTTTAAAAAGCGAAATAAATTAGGGAATATATTTTTTTTGCATGTGTTGGGACCCTTTAAAAAGCAGTGCTTTGACCCAACCGGAATCTCCGGGTGGTTGTTTGTGTGTGCGAGAGAGATGTTATTTTGAAACGCATCCTATAAAATGATATGGCTGGCATCTGCTCAGGAAAACAACAACAACACGGGAGATCAAGGGTGGTTTGTGCGATGAATTTATATTCCTCCCCCCTCGGCAAAGAGTGCTGCTGCAATTTCCGTGTCTAGCAATAAAGTATTCGAAATGTTCCGCAAGCTGACAGGACAGTTTGCAAACAGGAGATGTGGGAGAGAGGAAAGGAAAGGAAAGTGAAGACGTCTTCTGTGGAGGTCTAACCTCCCTTCCCAGATCTGTCACAGTCTCAGAGGGACAACTTGGCCCTGTCATTTTGCCCCCAGGAAAGGGGGACGCGGTCCTCTTTCCAAAAGTAGCTGGTAGGGCTGCAGGGGTGGCCAGGAAAATATTCCCAAGCGAGCCAGTGGCGATCCTGTTATTCCTGAAATTCAGGACAATTGGACAGCAGCAATGCATCTGTTCGGACCCGGTTTGGGGAAATAATTAGATCAATTTTGCTAAGCGGCGGAGTGCCTGTGGATTACGAGAACTTTCCCGTGAAAGGTTGGCTAGAATGAGGAAAAGGGCAAATTAAGGGGTTCAATATTTCTTTAAGCAGTGCAATTGCCGTGGCAAAGCGGATGCTTCCGTTTGACTGATGAGGTCAAAGCAGATGGGGAACAAGAACTTCCCAGATGAACTGGACTGATACAACGGTGTGGGTTGGTTCGCCGTTTAGATCCAGTTTAAAATCGAAGCACGTTTCCTTTCTGGATCCAGAAAAGATCTGGAATCAAGTGCTGAATTTCTTAGTGATTTCAGGAGTGGTTTTTTCTTCTTCCAATAGGTGTACAGTATTTACATTGTCCAGTATATTTGGTTTTTTTAAAAAAAACAACAACAATTAATTCACCTATAATTACTTCTCCAACAAGTAGTTGCAAAATGGAGAGACATTAGAAATGTCTCTGTTACTGAGGTTTGTAAACAACAGTTTTTGAGGGGTTGTTGGTACAAAGTGGACTAAGGTGATTTTTTTAAAAAACGAAATTTAAGTATGCATTTCAGAAAGACGCATTCTGCCGTTTATTTTTGACAGGAAAACTATCCTGCAAGAAAAGTGGGAGAGTTGTGTTGTCTCTAACCCCCTCCCCCTGCCCCCAGCAATTTCCCCAAATGACGATACAGAAGAAATAGTCTTCAAATTGCCTCGAGAGAAGGATATCGAATGGTTAAACGAGTTTGCTGTATTCGCATTGGCTGTGATTCCGTTTGGGGGGGGAGAGAGACACCCCAAACTCTACCAGTTAAAGAACTAATACAAACGCTTGATCGTAGAATATATCCTTTGTATTAACAAGGTCTTTCTGTTAACACTGTTACTGATCTGATACAGTGCGTTGGATTTAAAATGCTTGGAGGTGATTTGAGAGCATATTGGGTGCTTTATTGGAAATTTGCAGACTACATTTTCTTTTATTTTTACTAAGTGACTTGGATTTCTTTCTCCTCTGGATGCTATATTTCTTCAGGGGTGCAGGTGTTTGTTTCATATTTATTTGGGCTTGCTTGCATCCGTGTGTACACACACACACACACACACACAGAGAGAGAGAGAGAGAGAGAGAGAGAGAGAGAGAGAGAGAGATGAACTACAATATTGTAATGCAGACTGCTTCCTAGGTAGATTAATCACAGAACCAGAGGGCTGCCATGCATCAGAAATTGGTGCGGATAGCCTAATGCTCATTCATATTTGCGGCACAACAGGAGCATGAAAGGAACCTCTCTGCTCTGCAGGCATCTTTCTTCAACTCCAGTTGTGCTTCCGTTTGTTTCCAGTCCCAGACGATCGTTTTGGGAGTGTGCCTGTCTGTGAGGAGGACTTTGGAATAGATAAACGTGGGAGAAGTGTGTATTTGGTATGAAATTCGTTGTTTTGAAGAGGTGAAGTCCTACTTACTATGCTGTTCACAGCACAGCTGAACTGCTGACGGCACTGGTGGTACTTCCTTAGGTTGTAAAGTGTTAGGGAATCTATGTGGTGCTCAGGTCATTTATAAAAAAAAGGAAGACTGGCAGATGTGAGAAAGGCTGGGCACTTTCAACATTATAAAAGAGGGGACGGTGTTGTTACCCATCAATTTAAATGCCAAACATAGCATGCTGTGCACTGGTGTTGAAATAATATTTGCACCTGAAAATGCTGCATTGCAAAAAAAGAAAGAAAGAAAGAAAGAAAGAAAAGAAAGAAAGAAAGAAAGAAAGAAAAGCAAATAATGGTTTTTA